AGTACTCAACTTCCAATGCGCAGGTTCTATCTTTATCCATGGATGCAATACTTTGCAGCAACAAGGTTCAATTGCTTCTATATTTTGTGTCTCCTTGATCAAGAACAGAAATGACCCAAAGTGACAGATCTCAGGACCCATTACTACCTCTTTGCCTCCCAGAACTTGTCTTGTTGATAAAGCCTCCTGGTTTCTGGAAATTTAAATGTCACTCATGACACCACTCAACAGCTTCCTATCTCCTGATGAGAGCCACCTGCACTTTCTGGTGACAGCTTCTGTGTTGTCAAATAACTTGATATACACTGCCAAACAATCATTTATCATATGTTAATATTTACTAAAGAGATAGCATGTAATCTCTTTTTCTAAGTGAAACAATACTCATTTATTTACTCATTCAACATATAAATATTGAGTGCATAAAAATGCCCAATTTCCATTGAAGAACATTAAAATAATATCCCTCACCTTAGGATTGTTTCAACTTCATTGTCTACCATGGAAGATTAACTACTGGAGGAAGGGGATTCTAGGCTTACACTAAAGCAGTGAAAGTGTAGTACCTGGTAGTCAGTTTCCTGTGAAAAGTCAGTGAGGTGCCATCTTGGGATTTGGATCACAGGGAGATGAGGATAGTCTTCTGGAAGAGGAATTGTAATATCAAGTGTGTTGAATTCATTTTAACTTTTGGGTGGTGTCCCAGAAGAGCTACAGGAAGTGGCAGAGTTATCTATGTGGTACTGTATGATTCCCAGAACCCTGAATGATAGATGGTCATATCATACTACCCATGGTGAAGAGTTTGTAGGTAGAAAGCAACTGTTTCAGCATGAGTGGCCTCACTCTTATTAATAGTCTTTCCTAGGATAGATATTACAGGCCACTTCATCATTGTCTTATTATATCCGCAGGCATTAAAACCCACACTTGTGCAGGCTAAATCTCAACTCAAGTTGCACACTGGAATCACCTGAAGACCTTTGAAAAATAACATTGCCTGAATCCCACTCTAGACAAAATCTCATTTAAATCCTTTTGAGTTATGATTCGGATATTAGAATTGTTAAAATGTCTTCAGATGATTTTGATACACAAGTTACTCATTCTATAACTTAGGGAGAATACCAATACCTGTGCCTCAAATCAGAAAAATTGATTCAGAATCTCTGAGGTTGGGACCAGGAATTTAGTATTTTATACACTCTCCTTGACAATTCAAATGGGCTAAGAAACAAAGAGCCTCAGAGAAAAGGGTTCTAAAATTGATTAAAAATTATGGATGCAAGATTCTTATGCACTGCTTATATTTGTTATTTTTTTGTTCTGACGAGAGGGTCAGCACTTTCTGAAGAATGATGATGGTAATCTGTGAATCCCTATAGAGAGGAGAAGGAAAATGGCCCCAGGTCTCCATGCTAGAGCAGTCTCATATTGCATTGGGGATGTGATTCAGGATTCTCTGGAACACTGAATGAGAGCTGTTGGCAAGATGCCCCTTGAGCCTTGCACTTTCTCATATATGATTTCAGAGAGGAAGAGAGAAGGAGAGAGAGAGAAACATCAATGGTGAGAGAGAATCATTGATAGGCTGCCTCCTGCCACCAGACTGGGGATTGAACCCGCAACCTGGGCATGTGCCTTGTCCAGGAATCGAACTGTGACCACCTGGTTCATAGGTCGACACAACCACAGAGCCACACCGGCCAGGCTCACATATGGCCACTTTTAAAAGCAAAAGAAATCACCAGAGTTTTGTTTCCTCAAGTTAAAAATTTCCATCCGAAAGTCCGGAACAAGACTCAAAATAACTTTTAGCAACTTTTCATCTTTTATTACTTTCTGCACAAAGAGAAATAACATAGCTGTGTTCCAAATTACTGTGTCCATTTGCTAAAAGGACATTTCTGATATTTGTGTGTTGTTAACCAAGATATGATACAGACTGAGAAACAGACCACTTTTTGTTATGTATTAGGGTTGGAAGCATTTTTTAGGGTCTCAGCAGATCTGTGCTCAGTGAACCTTAGAGGGATGACAGAATTAACAAAGCAAGCTTAGCAACTACTGTGAGGAGGATTGGGTATAGATAGAATTTTGGATACTAGTGAGAGTATAGGGCAAGAAAGGATTCTCAGGTTTGTGGCGGAAGGTGTATGTTTTATAAAATGAAAGCATTAGGAAACAACATGTAGTGGGTGTGAGGACAGAATACATTAAATTTTCCCTGGATGAGTTTGGGTTGTGCTTTCATGGCTCAGGAGGAGGTGATGGGTGAGCATAGGGGTGTGCACAAATGCAGAAGACAGGCCAAACATTTGGGAGCTGGAGACATAGCGATGTAACTGCAGCTTTGAGAGTGATTCACTAGAAACCTGAGGGATTCTGTCTAAATGTTGGAGCAAGAGAAGGACGAGAAATGAAAGATATACAGCAGTGAGGCTGATGGAGTGATGGCATGCTCCACACGTGTTTAGAGAAAGGAGAAACGGTCATGGCAGAGAAAGCTGGATGCTGTCATCCCTGCCTCCTCCTGCTCCTCAATGGACTGCTTTTGCTCCACCCAGCACTCATCAACGGGTGGCCAGTCCCCAAGCCAGTCTCATTTGTGTCACTTCAGATGGTCACAAGAAGGTAGGAATTTCTCCAATAGGCCATGGGATAGACAGGATGTTTCTATCTGGTACAGAACAGCCCTCAAGATGTTTGCAAGCTGTCTGGAATCTCTCAGAAGGCAGACCCTGGAAAGCAGCCAGGAGAAAACATAGTTACTGATTCATATGTAAATATTGCTTTTCATTTTTGAAAAAAAAGAGGAAAAGTGGTTTTCTGTTTTAATCACACCCTCTTCACCCCATTGTTGAGGGATGCTTATCCACCCCACAGTTTGGGGAATGGCAAATAACAGCATCTGTTACCTGACAGATGGATTGACAGGTGTCTATTAGTCACATATTCTCCCAGGTTGAGAAAAGAGGGCAGTGCCAGCCATGCAGGCCTCACCAAGGTTTCCCTCAGGAACGGAGGGAGCAACCAGGGGCTGTGGAGAGTGAGGTGTGCCCTGGTTTCCCTGGGAGGTTGTAGCTGGCTTGTTTGAACAATTCTGTGGGTGTCAGGGCACTGAAACCTGTTATTCTAAGATGAGCAGGGTTATACAACAAACTCCCCTGGAAAAGGTCAGACAGATAAACAATGCTCCTTGCCAGGGGACCATGTGTACCCTACCCATCCTGGGCTATCAGGTTTCACTGCCCTGTCAGCCACAGAAGCTCTGGTTTTACAGCAAAACCTTTCCTAATCACAAAGGCCATTCCTCCCGAACTTCACCACAGACCAAGAGTTTTTTTTCTGAAACCTCCATTCCATGTAGTTGGCTCACAGCTCAGGGAGAAGCACATAACTGTCCGTGAAGGTTTGCACAAAGGCAATGAGATTCAAATTTCCACAGTGCTGGTCTTCAGGGTCTCACTGGGGTTACAGACATTGTTTTACCTTCTAGCTGGAAAACGCAGAGAAATGCGAGATCTGCTGGGAAGAAGGAAAGTTCATCTACTGCTGTGTTTGTCTGAAGGGCTTTCATGCGGACTGTCATCTCCCACCTGTGGAACCTCAGAGGTTTGTGAGATGCAGCCCCCTCTCCTTTCAGAGACCTTCCTCCTGCCATGCACACTCCCCCTGCAGAGTTCCTCCTTGTGTCCTGATGGGGAAGAAGCAGGGCCTGGGGTACATAGTCCAACAATATGATGTGGGGAGCTGTTAAAAATGCTATCAGGAGGAAGTTACTGTTCTCTTCTCACCTCTAGGAGGCTGAAGTCTGTAGCTGGGTGCTTCGCCTACATACCACTACTGTCCTTTCCAGAACTATCCACTACAAACTCCTGTTCACAGGAGTGCAAATGCCAGTTGTTTGTGTTCTGTGTGTATTCAGAACAGACAGTAAATAAGGACAGTTTCCCTTATTTTGGCATGTTCTCAACAGGTTAGTGGAGGCACAAGGCCTCCAGGGGTTAAGGCCCACACTCTGACATTCAGGCATGAAGGCAGGACTCTTTGTGCTCTCAGAAGCTCAAACTAGGAAAGGGGAGCCCAACACTCACCTTGACACCATCTTCCACCCAATAAACCTCTGCTGCTACTCTAGGGACCAGGGTTACCACATGAGAGTCCTGGAGAATCTGGGAGTTGTCCCCTCATTCCCTGGTTGTGCCCATCAGCCATTCCTGAAAGGAGAACATTGGCAGCTGTGGGAACGAAGGTGTTTCTAGGCTTGCCTTGCTCACTTACCTCTGATATCTCAGGAGCCCTTGGAGATGTACCTTCTGCACAATAGAATTGTCTTCACGAAGTCAGCAGCAGTTCTACAGTGAATCTGAAGTCCTGGCGAGACAGATGGGGCCAAAAGACAAGTCGGTGAGTTGTATTTGACCCAAGACATCTCCCTTCTGCTCACATGAGAAGTCAAACAGTCATGGGTGAAGGGAAGGGTGTCAAAGGGTGCCTGCTCTTCTGACCGTGCCTCAACCACACTGAAAACACACCAGAACCTGCTCACAGAAAACAAAACAAAAAAAACTTCAACTCAGCTATTACATGTTAGTGTCCAAGAGCAATCCCTGTTGGGGAAACTTCCAGAAGATTACAGTGTTCATGCTTCTGCCTAGACATGCATATGGGCTCACTCTTGCCAAGCTGCTTTTCATTCACAGTCTCCTTCTTTGCAGAAATGTGAATTCCTACTCCTAAAGGCCTATTGCCATTTCGAGGGCAACGTTTTTCCGAATATTCCACATGAAAATTATGTGAGTAACAACAACAAAACATGC